CCGGACCCCTTGGACACCTTCCGCTGCCCCCCCGCCCCCCGCAGACTGGTGGTGGAGTTCCCGGCGACGGGCGGTGCCGTCCCGTCCTGGCAGATCCGCACGGTGAAGCTGATCCGCTACGTCAGCACGTGGGACTTCTTCGTCGTGGGCTGCGAGGTGGTCTTCTGCGTCTTCGTCATCTACTACGCGGTGGAGGAGGGCCTGGAGCTCCGTGCCCACCGGCTGCGCTACCTCCGTGGCATCTGGAACGTGCTGGACCTGGTGGTCATCCTGGTGAGGCACAGAGGGGTGGAGAGGAGAATGGGTCCCGCCTCGGCCCCCCCCCCGCATGTCCTCCTCCTCCTCTGAGCTCCCGGCCCTGCCCTTCCATCCTGGGCTTTGTTTTTTTGTTTTTTGGGGGTTTTTTTGAGTTGGAGTCTCACTCTGTCGCCCAGACCTGGAGGGCAGCGGCACCGGCATGCTCACAGCCACCGCAGCCTCGACCTGCTGGGCTCTGGCGAAGCTTCCGCCTCAGCCTTCCAAGTGCCTGGAACTACAGGCACGCACCACCATGCCCGGCTCATTTTTTGATTTATTGTAGAGACGAGGTCTCGCCAAGTTGCCAGGGCTGGTCTCAAACCTGTGAGCTCAGGCAATCCTCTCACCTCGGTCCCCAAAGTGCTGGGATTATAGGTGTGAGCCATGGTCCCCCGACCCATCCTGTGCTTTTTGAGACAAAGTTTCAGTCTGTCAACCTGCTGGAGTGCAGTGGCACAATCACGGCTCACTGCCGCCTCAGACTCCTTGGTTCAAGCGATCCTCCTGCCTCAGCGTCCCTAGTAGCCAGGACTACAGGCATGTACCACCATGCCTGGCTACTTTTTTTGTATTTTTTTTGTAGAGACGTGGGGGGGGGATGTCTCATTTTGTGACCCAGGTTGGTCTTGAACTCCTGGCCTCAAGCAATCCTCTCACCATGGCCACCCAAAGTGCTGGAATTACAGGCACGAGCCACTGCCCCCAGCCAGTCCTGTGCTTGATAATCTATTCTTCGTCTGTCTTCTGCCCTTCTGACCCATCCCCTCGAAGCCCATGCCTTTTCTCTTCTGTTCAAATATTCTGTCCCTCACCACCATCTTCCTCCTACTTTTTTTTTTTTTTTGAGTCAGAGTTTCACTCTGTCGCCCAGACTGGAGTGCAGTGGCCGCTCCCGGCCACCGCAGCCTCGACCTGCTGGGCTCTGGCGATCCTTCCGCCTCAGCCTTCCATGGAGCTGGAACTACAGGCGCGCGCTATCACACCCAGCTTATCTTTTTGATTTATTAGAGATGAGGTCTCACCAAGTTGCCCAGGCTGATTTTGAACCCTCGGGCTCAGGCAATCCTCTTGCCTTGGCCTCCCAAAGTGCTGGGATGACAGGCTTGAGCCACCGCGCCCAAACTCATCTCCCTTCTATTAACAGGACACCGTCATGTCCTGACCAAGGCTGGGCGGGGTGGGAATGGCGGAATGGGGTGTCTTGGTTCTAGTTCCTGTGGCGTTTATGCCGTGCTTCTCCCGCTGTCCCCTTCTGAGTACCAGAATGCCCTCCAGCCGTCCAACCCAGGTCCCCTGAACCCGAGAGCCAGCTCTCAGCCGGGAAGGAGGCCTTTCCTGCCGGCCTTGCCTCCCCTGGCCCTCCCCTGGAGATCCCCTGGACTCCTGACACCCCACGAGCCCTCTCCACAGCTCTCCATCGTGGCCGTGGGCTTCCACGTGTTCCGAACCCTCGAGGTGAGCCGGCTGATGCGAAGGCTCCTGGGACAGCCCAGCGCCTACGCGGACTTCGAGTTCCTGGCCTTCTGGCAGACACAATACAACAACATGAACGCCGTCAACCTCTTCTTTGCCTGGATCAAGGTGCGCTGGACCCCGCGCCCAGCCCTGCCCTCCCCGTCTGTCGGGCGACTCCCGGGGCTCCGGGGACCCCCTCCCCCCCCGCCCGCGTTGACGCTGCACGACCCTTCCAGATATTCAAGTACATCAGCTTCAACAAAACCATGACCCAGCTGTCCTCCACGCTGGCCCGCTGCGCCAAGGACATCCTGGGCTTCGCCGTCATGTTCTTTGTCGTCTTTTTCGCCTACGCCCAGCTCGGCTACCTGCTTTTCGGGACCCAAGTGGAAAACTTCAGCACGTTCGTCAAGTGCATGTGGGTCCGGGCCCCGCTGTTCTTCCCTGCCTCCCTA